CCTAATGATTAGAGTAGGGGGCTGCTTAGTCAGAAGAAATGGGTTCTGGTACCAGTTTTGCCACTGAGTCACGTGTAACTGCGTTTAAGAGCCATCTGTGGAATAAATGTGAGGTATTACTAATTAACCAAGCTGCATGAAAACAGAAAATAACCACCCTTTTGGAATAATAGCAATATTACTTGTACAACGGATGAATAATGCTACACCTGTTCTCTTAGTTGCTTTTACTCATTTGAGGTGCGTGTCCATTTGAGTCAAGTTCCTCCAAGTTACCATGAACTCCAGAACATTGTTTCTCAACCTTTTTTTTAATAAAGTACCCCGTAAACTCCCAGTACCTAGTTTTCAGACACACATTTTTTTCTACCATTGCAACACATTTATTTAAACAACTTAATCATAGCTGGGCGGGTGATGAAACTTTTGGGTGTAAAAAGTACAAAAATAATAAAGCGCTGTAAAACTTAAAACAAACATTCAGTTTTCTTCAAATTCCAGTTGTGTTGATGTACCCCTCAGACTTTTCTTGAGTCCCCTGAGGGTACTCGTATCACTTCACTGGTTGAGAAACACTGCTCTAGAAGAGCAATCAGGTTAAGGTATTAAGCACTAAACTTTCAAAGTGCAGTGCAGACACATCTACAGAAGGAATGTGAATATTGGGGAGTGCAGGTCAGAGGCACAATGTAGCTTTTGAAGTTTTGGCCTTCTCAAGGCATTCCTTAGCTCCCACTCACACTCTAACCATTTTGAATCTGCTGAGATAGCCTGGAGGACCCAGAGGTTCTAGGCAAAGTAGCCAGTCTTTAATACTCCCATCATTGCAGCTGCACCAGTGGGGAATTTATCTAATGTAGACAAGGCTGAAGAGAGCTGCGGGCATGAGCATTCACACTGGAACGTATGCAAAGGAGTTGAGGACTGTGCAGCCCATAGTCTCCTGATTAATATAACAGCCAGACTCAGGCTTTGAGTAATTATTTCCCCTGGCACTTTCTTTCAGTTGAGATTCCTTATCAGCTCCGTGCAGTGTCTGATTGTTGGGACTAGAGGGATCCTGTGTTTTTCACAATGGTTGGCCCTGCATTGTGAGGTTGTAGACAGGGTGGGCTTACACAGTGCAGATCCCGGTTCCCAGAGGCAGATGACTTCCTCTGGAGAAGCGGCCCCCGGAGTTGATTTCCAGAAAGGGAAAACCTGGACAGCAGTTAATTCCACCATTGCAGTGAAAAACATCTAGATGGAGAGGCTGATAAGCCTGATAGAATTTATGGCAGTAACTTTAAGACACAGCTTGAAAACATTCCTTTGCTCTTCAGGAAGAAGAAATGGCCGGACCTTCGCTAATGGAAACAACTTTTTCCAAACAGCCCTAGGAAACTGAACACTTAAGTAGAGAATTGAGCTGAGCAATGGTTGGCAGCAAATCAATTCCTTCCAAAGATAGACATGCCTGGAAATGGCAAATGGCTAGAAATGGGCCCCTGTCGCTTATTTTGGCTCTGGGCCTGTTTTTTCCCAAAGTCTTATGGAATTGGGACCTGTGGTTTGATTGTAGAGCCATGTCTGTGAATGGCTCGGTGCCAGAATGTTATTGATGGTAACTCTGCACGGCATAGAAGGCTTTACAAGAAACATGTTTGGCAACATTAATCCACCCTGGAACGACTCTGCAACTTTAGTCATGGCAGCTTCTGCAATGAATGCTGAAAGATGGATTTTGTGCCTGCTCATTGCAATGCTCTGATCCGTGGTTGAAAGTCTATTGGCTTCTCTAACCTCCTGGCAGGTATATTGCGCTCACCCTTCAGCCTTGTGTGCTGCTTGTGAGATTTTTGGTATGACCGTACGCAAAACAGTCTCTTGATACATATTGGGGACCAACTGCTGTTCAATTAACAGGGCATTCCCATGGTTTGGTGCTGTACAAACATGACAACTCTTTGTAATTCTAGATCTGGCTTACAAAACATGCATGTTTAGCTCACTGCAGAGATTAGGGCACTGGAATTTGAATGGGTCGGCCATGCAGTTCAGATCAGTAGCTAACTTTCCACCAAACTGTTGGCTATTTGGACCCATCGTGCTCTTGGAAGTTGCACATTCTCCATTTTTTCTGCTTTCAGTGATGCGTATTTGTCTCTTTACAGGAAAAGGGAACTTTCAGAAACAGCAACTGACCACAAGTCTGTTCTGTCTACGTTCACGCTCTCTGGGAACAGCTGCACCTATAGCTCTTTATTAAAACTGTCTCCCCTCTTGGTACCTTTTGCAGTGGTTTGGGATACATCACGGGATCAAGTGTGAAGCAGGTAGCAGGAGACTGGCACTGGGCATTGCGGGTAAGCATCTGTCTCATCTTCAATAAGTCTGCTAAAATATCCCTCATGAACTCATGCATGCGAACATTAGAGCTGGCTAGCAAATAGGGTGTCAATTTCATGAAAACTTCCTCAAAATTTCCAGCTCTTCAGCTAGTCAAAAATTTTGAAATCAGATATTTGGCTGAAATTTTCTTCAACATTTTCCAAAAGTGGACGATATTTTTGCAGGTTTGTGGGTGGGTTAAATTTCCACCTTTCCCCCTCCCTCCGCCAACGGTATTGCAACTGTTGGAAATTTCCTACCCACTCCAGTAAGCACAGGCCATTGACACAGTCTTTTTCCCGTTTCAGAAGACGATGGTACTGCCCCCACTGTGTTTTACTCTACCTTGAGTGATCCATGAGCACTATCTTGAGACTGAACAGTATTTAACAGGTTGAGGTTAAAGGCAAAAGAAGACTGCTAGGTAGGGGATGATAAAAAACCCAAGAGCACTGGACAGATGCATGTACAGATATTCAGCATATAGGCCATTAAACCTATCCTGCTCCTGAATAAAAAGGGAACCGAGTTTGTTGGTTTTGGGCATGTTTCCCTCCCTGGGAATAGCAGATTTCCAATCACTTCATTATCAGTCGACATTGGTTTCTTGATGGGCTGGGAAGGGGAGGCAGCAACCTGAAATCTGTAGCCTTTCAGTCCCCTTGCTATGAAGAAACACTGCCAGGATGGTTTCCTGCTTTGAGGAAAAAACACTTTGTTCCAGTTTCCGCTTGTTTTTCTGCCCACAGACTCTCCGTTTCCTTCTGTTTTATCCTCCAGGGACCTTGATAAATGTGTTGAAAAGATAATACACCACACACACACAAACGCAGCCACACGCAAGGATAGCTTGAAAGAGCTGGCAGGAAATAGCCCGGCAAACCTGCTTTCTGGCCTTTGACAGTCTGGCCAGCACGGGGTTGAGTGAGACGCTCCCTCAGGGCTGGCAGTTTGTGAAGGCAATTAATGGCATGAAGCTTGTGCCAGTGCAGTTTATAACAGCAGGTGCTGAAATACATGGATTCCCTTCCTCAAACAAACGGCGCTTTTTGGCGGCTGGAAACGAGACGCGAAGCCAGCGAAGTCACCGGGAATTGCCCGTCAGCAGCTAGCTGAGTGAGAGCAGATGCCAGCCAGGATGCCACAATGAAAAGAATTAAATTGAATTGGCATGAAGCTTGTGCCAGTGCAGTTTATAACAGCAGGTGCTGAAATACATGGATTCCCTTCCTCAAACAAACGGCGCTTTTTGGCGGCTGGAAACGAGACGCGAAGCCAGCGAAGTCACCGGGAATTGCCCGTCAGCAGCTAGCTGAGTGAGAGCAGATGCCAGCCAGGATGCCACAATGAAAAGAATTAAATTGAATGACCTACAGTTTCAGACCAGAAAATTGGCTACCTCACCTACCGGCAGGAAT